AGTTGATTTCTCCATAAATAAACAACAGATAGCAGCACTTACATCGACCACGGAATGATTAATTATTTGTTGCATTATTATTCTTTCACAGTTAATTTGTAAAACGCCTATTTATGTCAAATTTAAGGTTAATGGCCTCACGCTGTTCGGCTACTGAGCCGCCCACTTGCTCGTTGGCGGATTTTGTCGCTCCGAGAACGCAAGAGGCGACATTAGACCGCCGACCATAAATTAATTGAAAGCGAAATAGCGTCGGGCTATCTTTAACAATAAGATTTAAAGAATAATGAGTGGATAGCACGAGAATTCGATGTACAGAAAGTTGTGCCATTTCATTTGTCGACGCGTTAATTGACACGCAACAAAGTAGAGATCGATGTTATAACCGAGGAGATTTCACGGTCTTTCGACTCCCTTAAAACAGCGTAATACCACTAATGGTCGAAGCATGGGTTTCCCTAACAATAAGTCGGCTCTGCGCCGTTTGTATACACGATCGACCGTGAGCGCAGAGTGAAAAAGGAGAAAAGGCGCGCGCGAGGCACAGAACACAGCGTGCAAGAAGGGATAGGGCGAAGGAACCGCCGAAACGGTTCGACAAGGTTGCACGAGTAGCAAGGGTCTCCGTCGCGTCGGTTCAGACACGCGCTATAACCTCTCGCTTTCGAAAGTTTCAGTCGACAGTTTGGTCCTGGACGAAGTGATTACGTTAAAAGCACTTTACACCTATTCCCCCGCCGGCATTACAGTCGTAGCGCAGCGCCAGTGATAAAATACAAAGTAACCCCTCGGAGCGGAAAGCCGACTTCTTTGCTGACTTTTCTCGTCCATTTTTTCCTTTATTAGACCGTTCGTGCTATTTTACGCGCCTTTTAGCCCTTTAACGATGTCAACGTGTTTATGCTTCGCGATCCTTCCCCTTTTTGGTTTTCTTTGCGACCGAGAACTCGACCGACTCTCTCGCCCTTCCGTCGCGATATCTCGCGACTGCCCCCGGAAACGGATTACGGAAGGAATTAAGTAAATCCCGGATAAATAAAATACTCGATTAAATTCAATTAATCGTGTCGAACGCTCGGGATGGATTTTAACGTCGACCGAAGAACAATTCACCGCGACTAGAGGCTGCGAAATAAATTCCGTTCCGCGATTTGTCGGTCTTAACTTTGTTCCGGGCAGGATCTCCGCGCGATAACGATCTGTCTGGCATTTTTCCGATTTATCGGGTCTGGTTTATTTTTCAGTTCGCGGCTGCGTTGCCGCACCGTTCTTTTTGTTTTTCCTTCTGTAGGATAGGCCGGAGGGATAATAACGGCTTTACACATTCGCGCCGGCTCGTAGCCTAGTTAGTATTTTTATTCGACGCGTCCTTCGACGCACCGGCCGTACACGCAACTACGGCCGTATGTCGCTCCGAAAAATACGTTACGCTTCTTTTTCTCTGTTGCGCCGTTCGCCACTTTGCGAGCGATACCAAGCAGGCAGCCGGCAACGCGAAGCGAACCTCTCCGGGCTCCCAGCAATCTTCTGCCAACCTTGTTCCGTCGGCCTTTGTTCCTGGTTTGTCACGTTCATCGAATTCCCTTTCAGCTATCGTTGCCGATTTAATTACAACTATTCGTATGGCTGATTTTTAATTACATTCTTGACGCTACTCGTGGATTGTTCCATTGTCCGATTAATCTGCCGGCTGCTTAACAGTGTCGTCGCCGACGTTACGCGTCGCTCTTTGATCCCCTCATTCTCATTACGATTCCTCGATTCCTGTCCGATTAAAATTCTTCCGTGTTCTTTGACGGTGTCTCCCGAGCGGACAACAAGCTGCGAGCGGAGGAGATCAGAGGAGACCAATTCTCCACGGGAAATACCCGGTCGGCCGGTTTTTCGGGTACGGGGAAAGAATTTTCGCTGGTATTTCGGCAGGTTTTGAAAAGCAACGGTGAGAAATCGGGCAATCGTCGACGCGGCAGGGAGACGCGGTCAGGAACATGGGCAGAACAGACCGAGAAATATCGATGAAACCTGTCCGGTATTTTTCCGGGACAGCTGCGGCAGTCGATCGCTGCGACGATCTCCGGGCAACGTCTATCGCGGAGGACACCGACCGTTCGAATCGATTCCATCGTATCTATCGCGACGTTTAAGTCCCTTCGTTAACAGAAGTGCCTTCATGTCGGCAGCTAGGCCAGGGGAAAACCTAACGAATGAATTTCGTCGGTGCGATCGTTGAATTCAGCTTCCGGATTTATCGGAGTAAAAGCCCGGCCGATATTCGCGGGTTTCCATCGCGTGGCCGACACGTGTTCCAGGGACAGACATGCGAACGTTCCCCGTTCCCTTTCTCGTTCTCCTCTTCCCGTGGCCGTGCCGTACCCGTTGCCGTTCCCGCAAATTCATTACGCGAACGGAACCATCCGTTACGGATCGTTTGATTTCGCTAACGACGTCCTATAAAGTATTCGGTGCGTGCCTGTTCAAAACGATGCCTGCCACGTCGCCGGCCAGGCCGCGACATCCGCGTAACGTTTAATTGCTTCTGACGAACGTTGCGGCTCACGTGACCGCTGGTCTAACACCGCCGTAATAGTTTTTACTGGCAGCCGCGGACTAATGCAACCAACGGTACTCCCTCCCTCTCTCTCTCTCTCTCTTCCTCTCTCTCTCCCTCTCTCCCTCTCCTACTCTCATCCTCTCTCTCCCTCTCTCTCTCCCTCTCTCTCTCTCTCTCTCCTCTCCTTATGATACATGGTTCCGTGTGCGTTCCGCGACCGGAACCGTTTACCACTATTATTTATGGTCACGGTTATTTAGAAACTTCAACCGTTGCCGCCCTCCTAATTCTTATCGGAGGCGTGCCTTATGCACCGCCGCGATAGTTGCCTTGTCTGATCGCTACCGTAACGAACCCCTCCTTATTCACCTTCCCTGGTTCGTTATTGCCAATTTTATTACCGGCATTACCAGACTGCGGATTTTATGCAGTTATTATATTTTTCGGCGCCCGAACCTCTGAATCGCGAGTAATTTAACGAGACTTTTATGCTCGGGGAAACATAATTGGCCGTCGAATAGAACCAGCCCATTAAAAATCTGTGCGCGCATAAAGATCCGCGGTCTTGCTGTTCCTAACCAATGAATATTTAGTCATTCCATTTTATGGCTGGTGCGAAGCTAATGCCAATTGTGGTACCGTTTTAGAAAGCGGGCTAATTAATTGTTAGTGTGTACGGGTGTCCGCGTTTTTAACCTTTTAGGTACGGCTGAATTCTGCGCGAGGCTATTTCTCTGGACGGCAGAGTCTGATATGTACTGTACAGAGTCTGATATTGTATATTCTGTCTGTATATACAGGGCGGGTTCCTCAGGCCATTTGAAGCAACTTTTTCCTTTACAAAAATTTTTTCCGAGGCACCGTTAACGAGTTATTAACGAAAAACAGTGTCAAACGAGAGGCGAGCTCAGCTGGCGCGAGGCGATCGAGCCAATGAGCGGAACTGGGCTTCGCGCGCTGGCTGGCTGGGCCGCCTCGCGGCAGCCGTACTCGATTCTTATTGGTCACTGTTTTCCGTTAATAACTCGTTAACGGTGCCTCGGAGAAAATTTTTGTAAAGGAAGAAGTTGCTTCAAATGATCCGAGGAACCCGCTATTTCCGGATTGCGAGACATTTTTGGGATACCCTGTAGACTGTTGTGAATCGATGTGAAGACAAAAGAAGTGTAAAACAATGCATATGAAGACGATTATTTGGTTCAAACGATGACCGAGTGAGCTACTAGAGCAAGCCACTATAGTGGTGCGTCGTTCAGAGTGATGACATCCGCGGAAGCCACTATAGTGGCACGTCGTGCCTAAAAGGTTAAAATACAATTAAATATGCAAATTACGTATGTCAAGTACGAAGATATAGTATGCGAACATATGCAGAAATCTAGCAACATATGCGAGTAAAACAACATATGGAAAGACATATGTCAGATTAGTAATTATATTAGTCTACGGATCTTCGTGTAAAAGGGAAATGTTCCGACTAAATTGTATCAACTGCTTAGCTGTTGCGATCTCTTTTAAAAGTGTACGCGTGTTTTATTACTAACATTCTTTTATTTTATTGAACATTTAGGATCACAAAAATGTTTGGGTTCCCGCCACGATGTACAGAACGCTCACTCTTGGTTCGATTTCTTTGAATGCGTCACGCGACTCGTATACGCGACATTATCCAGAGAGAAGAGCAGGATCGAGTCGTCCCCGAGCTGCGCACAAAGTTCCCGAAGATGTGTCTTTCCGCTAACAGCGTCTATTGGAACTGTGGATCTACTTTAGCCCCCTCATCAATAATGGTACTCAATCTAGGCTGTCTATCCGGAGTCGATCCTTATTCCACTTTTCAACTTCGTTTTACTTTCTGTGCCTCGGCTCGGTCTTCCGTTTTGTCTGACAATGAGTTATGGCCGTCGACGGATGTTACCTCCGCGCTTTATCCGCAACAATTAAATCTATTAACGATCAGGCGTGTTTTAATCGTCGAATATTCGCTCCGGCGACGGTTCTAGCCGAGAAGGTAATGGGCTGGCCGATGCGGTATTGGTCGAGAATAACAAGAATGCGATACTTGCGCGTGTCTCGTCCGACACGATTCACCGATTTCGAAGTAACCGGATATTCCACGTGTGGTCACGTAACGATCCATCGAAAAACTATTAGAGCAAAGGCCAAAACGACGCTCGAAGCTGTCGTTCGTCGGAGAAACGGCGCCGCGTGGTTGCCAATTCGATTATCCGGCTGCCACGGCTAACTACAGTGATTTATTTGTTTAAGCAGGTCTTCTACCGTAGAACGCGTTTCCTAGAATTTTTGTCAAAAAGCTGTGCAGTATTTTTCATTAACGATTTTCGAATGGATCTGTTCATCTCTCAATTTTATTTACAAATTTTTAGGTGATCAAAAAAGTAATTAAAATTAGCGACAATGCAGCGACTCGTACGCAATCACGTGTCAAAAAGATGCTCTCGTAGCTTTCACGAAAAAAAATTGATAATTACCTGTTGTTCAAGATAGAGATCCCGATTTTCCTCTTCTTCCGTCGAACTGCATGGATCAGGATATGCTTTGACCCTTTTTTATCCATTTGTATACTCTATGTCGCATCCTATTGCCAACGGTCTGGTTGGCCGTTCAAACAGCTGCGTATAACTCTGCTAACTTTGGAAATTCGACTACATGCTTCCGCGCATATATCTCCGAGACAATGTTATTCGAGAAAGTGAAAAGAAAGAGACATCGATTTTTGACGATTTACAGCAGAAGACCGCCTCAATTCGAACCGACTGTCGCGCATGCACGGAGCTCCGACATAAGAATGCGTATAACTCTGCTAACTTTAGAAATTCGACTACATGCTTCCGCGCATATATCTCCGAGACAATGTTATTCGAGAAAGTGAAAAGAAAGAAAAATCGATTCGTGACGATTTACAGCAGAAAACCACCTGAATTCCAACCGACTGTCGCGCATGCACGGAGCTCCGACATAAGAATTTCTTCGCTTCGAACTTTCCTGGTTTGCGCGGCACGAACTTTGGAGCGCTGGAAAAGATGCCAGTTTCACGAACAATTTTTCAAAGCAGCAGAGCTTGTTGCGAACCGCGTCAATTAACATTTGTTGCCGGAGCCGCAGCATCTGGTCGCCTGATACCTTTTGACAAGCGACCGTGTCCCGTTTCCTCTTCATCTCCGTGCGTCGTTTTATATTTCCTATTTACGCTGCAGGATAAATTCGTTTCATTCTTTTTACCCTCCACTCAAAGCTCGCTCCGTCCTCCGCTTTATTTCTTCGGCTTTGAGGTTAATGGGGACCACGGTTTCGTCGAGTACAACACTTTACAGAGTACTCGACGTTCAACAATCATTAGTTTCTTCCTTTCCCGTCCCGCGCATCTCGACGGAATGGTTACTTTTTACTAGCGGTCGGTGATTAAACTAAAAATTAGCAAGCTCCGACGTTGGCTTTGAACGGGACGCCGTTCCCTCGTGAAAATAATTCACCGCGAACAATCGCTCCGTTCCGGACAGTTCGGCGCTGTGTTTCGCTCTTTCGACCAGCAGCGCGTTCGGTTCTCGTTCGCTCGCAACAACATAGATTTCTGCGAAACGGACCGCTAAAAACGTTGTCCAGGTCGGCCGACATGGTAACAAAGGGTATCTCCTCGATAACTACAGTTTCCATCGTTTCTCCGGACGAGTGTCTGTCGGTCTCGTTATTCGGTCGATCATTTCCTTGTAGTTGGACGAGAAAGAACTTATGGTTCTACTTCGTGGAATTCGTTCGAATAGCGGGCCGCCGAGGATTCACGGCTGAATTTATAACAGGGACTTCCATCGATAGCCGAGGGACTGCGAAATCGACGGAGTCGAGCGGAGGAGGTATTGTTAACGGAGCGACCCGGTAAGTACCGATAAATAAAAGATCGCAATCTTCCGGAACTTAATGTCGCGATCATTCGAGCTGAAGCACGAGTCCCGTGATCGTTCGCGACGCGTTTCCCTCCGTGAAACTGCACGGAGAATCGAAAAACGTAGAACGTTTTAGCGTCTAGCTCTAGGGAGGCGGAAAACATTACCATATTTAGCCGCTAATCGAGCACCTGTTGCTGAAGCATCGTTCCTTCGATACATTCCTCTCCGCTCGCCTTCGTTCCGCGACACCTATACTCGCTAGATTCCTGCCGGAACCGCAGACTTTTCATAGATACGCGACGCGAAACGTGTTTCCAGTTTAATTGTTTCGCGTGTCCCGCCGAGTTTCGAACTTGCCCAGATATTTCGGGTATCTCGAGGATGCTGCGGCGTCTTGATAGTTTCGAGCGTCTCGGGGTCTTCGGAGATCTCGAGTTTTTCGTCGTTGCCCGGAATCCAGGGTCTGGCGTCTAGCGTCTGGCGTCCGGCGTCTGGCATCTGGCATCTGGCGACCTGAAAGCGTAAACGTGTAGTGAGTAGCGGTCGAACGGTGAACGCCGAATTGCGTACGCTAATCGTTCGCTGGACGAAAAAGCTTGGCACGCCGGGTGAGAGGTGAAGAAGGTTTCGCGGCGCGAGGGTGCATCGCGGGTAAAAGGATCAACGATGCGCGGCGTATCGTTAAAACGTTTTGCGGGCAAAAGCATCGGGAAAGCGAGTCTGGCACCGGCAGACGACGACGGTTCGAGAGAAAGGGAATCGCAGGCAAGCAGGCAGGCAGGCAGGCAGGCAGGCTGGCTGGCAGGCAAGGGTGGTTCAGGGCTGAGGTATACCTCGAAATGGACTTGCCATTATGGCCAAACTAAAGCTGGGTATTCAGCCATCCACAAGCTTATTAGTATGCAAGCGAGCTTGTTGCCTTAGGTGGCTTGAAAGCCCCGTGTGTCACATTCACGACGTGTTTCCCGAGACACGCAACATACTGCACCGTAGCACGATATACTGCTGGTAACATCCTCCCCTTGTCCTCTCTTTGTTTCACCCCCTTTCGTTGCGCCGCGGCAGTACGTCTCCATTGCGTCGCGTCCCGTTGCCTCGCCTCCCGTATCGTCGCGTACAGTCGGCTGCCCGTCTCGTACCGTCGCGCCGCGCGATACGCGAACATGTCTACGCAGCCGAGCCGGGTTACCTTCCCTTTCTACGTCGACAATTCGAAGTTAATTCCCCTAATTGGCTGCTCGGTGCGCCCTGTTTATGCGCGTGCTCGGTTTCTATGCGCTCGCGATGTGCCGCATCAAGGATACATATCATTATACGCCGTTTGTTTTTGGAATTGTCGAAGCTACACGACTGTCGGTGTATCCTTGTTGAATAGAAACCTGCTTCGAGAATCTCTGGTAATTTCCTTGCCGCGAATTTACAAGACGTCGCATAATTATCAGCTGATTGTAACCGAGTTCAATGTCGGAGGACACGAAATCCTATTCTATTTGAACCTTCTCGCGAGACAGTAGAAACGGCCAGTAAACTCGCCTAACTCGTTGGTCTCGAAACAGGAGCTTTCTATGAAGAAATTTCATTCCTCGTTCGCGACTGATTTTTCTCTGTGAAACCGGTTAGAGTAGTGTTCGAGTTTCGATCTTGAAATTCGCGAATAAAAGAAGTTTCGTTGTTGGTAAGAATTAATAGTCCTCCCTATTCCGTCTCATAAATTTTGACGGTCCCAATAATCGTTGGTAAGGACTGATTTCGAACTGCGAAAAGTTCGCCGGGATAATCGCCCGACGATCAAATTTGATTCGCGAGCACGGAATGCCTTTTACCTCGCGAAACTCTCTTTCCTTGTAGCTGTTCGCTCGGCTCTTCTATTGTTTACGACGATCGCGACCGGGAAACTGGGTTCTTAGGAAAACGACGGAGCTACGTAACCTTGGTTAATCTCACTGATGCAGCAGAGTCGCTCGTAACAGTTATGATGAACGTTAGCGTTTACCGTCCACGCTTACAGACGCGCGAGCGTAGCGTAATCCAACTAACGTCATTAAGCAGTGCCGTGTCGGATTAAATCCTCGCCGGGTGTCCATACCGAGGCACGTATCGTAAACATCGCATTCGTTGCCAACACGCAAATATTGCCCAGAAGTTTGCTTCTTACCGATGCGTCGGCAATGTTACATTCGCGGCCATCGAGAACCGGCTAATTTAACAACGTGGGACTGTTGAAACAGCGTAAATCTTCGCTGCACGCGTGCAAGGCCCCGCATCTTGAATACGCATCTGCGATTTGGCCTCCTGAACAAATTAAATTAACACTCAGCCGACCGCACGCGCCACAGAGACCTGTACAGTTTCCACCGCGCTCGGGAAAGCCAAACTGCGCTGTCCACCGCGCATTTTTCTGAGGTAGCACGGACTGAAATACGCTATTTGAAATCAAAAACGTCCGAAAATTATATATGCGATTAATTATATCTTACGGTAACAATTTCGTTCAACGATTTCACATATTGCTTATACAAAATTCGAATTTAAAAGTTTATAATAATTATCTTTTAATGGCTATTCAAAAAGTATAGTTAATAGAGTCAGAAAATTAAGGACAGTAAAGATGACGGATAAATAACGTAACTCGTAACTCGTAATAACGTAATTCGTCGATTAGTCTGATATATGGAAACGATGGCGCTATTATTGTCGTCAACTTCACAATCACTTATCAGTAGATCAATGTCTTCAGAACAGTCTGATAGTGTGTCCATAAACAACTCATCACTTGAATTGTCACTCATGTTTCTGGACATTTTTAGGGATATTTTTTCTATACTTCGTTTCACACCACTTGTTGAGAGTCACAGCAAGGAGCTTAGCTTCTACACTAATATTTGCAAGTTGAGCGGAGTTTTATATATTCGAAAAAGTCGTGAGAGTGG